CCTCCCCTCCCCTCCCTTTTCTCTCGCTCACCGGCTCTCTCCCCTCCCCCTCTCCCATCTCCTCCTCCCCCTCCTCCTCCCATCCTCCTCCCCTTTCTCCTCCTCTCCCTCATCCGCCTCCTCTCCCTTCTCCTCCCCCTCCTCTCCCTTCTCTTCATTCACCTCGCCCACCTCGTTCCCCCTCATGAAAAGGCTTGAGGCATCAGCAGCGGAGGTGAGGAAAATCCAACAGCTGCTCGAGGAGGAGGATACGGTCACCGAAGAAGAGGACGAGGCAGAGCCAGGAAAGGTGAAGCCGCGCACATCGATCCAAGTACATGTCGACTGAGCTGACACGTTCGGGTCGAGACAGTCAAGTCATGTTAACACGAGTGTACATCTTCACAAGGATGGGGATCAGAGCACAGCGAGTGAGAGATGCTGCTGGGGTTGGTTTGTTGCTGACATGAACTCATACCTGCAGCTCGGGATGTAGGAGGCGGTGAAAGTCCACGGAGGACGAGACAAGCGGCTGCGAGAGGAAAGAACAAGAGTCCTCGTATGGAAGGGGATGATGAAGTAGATCAGATGCTGCAGAGGGAAGTTCGTTCGAGCCAACGAGAGGAGGAGAGATTGAGCAGCAGGTTGCAAGACTGTCATCTTGCTATCTTACAACACTTCCAGCGTTTGGACACGGTCTCCCCTGCTGCTTGCCACAGGAAGTGACTTGAGGACACAGGGAGACGAGCTGGATGATGCAGAGAAGGAGCAGGTTGCAGCTAAGCTCCAAGAGGAACTTGACAGGAGCATCCGAGAGCTGAATGAATGCATCTCGGACCTCGATCGAAGGAAGGAGCAAGCGCTCGTCGACCTCCAGCAAGACTGTGACCTCGCTGAGGACGCGCAGACCTTGCAAAGGGCGCTGGAGTTGGAGCTGAAGGTGCTGAAGCAGCCGAGGACGTCGCATGCGAGGAGGAAGGAGCTACGAGAGCTCAAGGCGAAGAATGAGGAGCTTGTATGCAAGGATCCGCACTCAGTCCATGTGTTCTGACCTCCGTGTCCTCCAGTTTCTTCTCCTCTCAAACCTCATCGACGAACACATCCCTGACGCTGCTGCGGTGGGGGAGCAAGCTTCGTTCAAGGAGCTGCTGGGTGACGTCATGAATCACCATTTCCAAGACGAGGCTGAGGAGAGCTTCTTGGCGATCAGCTCCCGTTACCGGCAGGAGCACGTCGATCTGCTGGAAAGAGCAGGGGTGATTGTGGTGGACCCGGCAGACCCCTGTCGCATGAGGATGACTAGCTTCTTCTGACCTGCGCTCCTCCTCCTACCTTACACCCTCGTGAAACCGGGCCATGCAGCGTTAGAGAAGTTGGAGAGAGGAGGGGCGTCGAAGTCGTCGGTGGGATACAACTTTCTGAAGATCCTCTCGGCCTCTGTCAAAGTCCAATCAATCTCCCTCCCTCCCTCCTTCATTCCCCCCCCCCCCTCTCGCTCACTCATTCACTCACTCACTCCCCCCACATTGCCCTCCTCTCACCAATCTCATACTCGGCGTCGGGATCATCGGGGAAGGGAGCATGCATGCGGTTGCTGCAGTTGGTCGCTGAGTCGGTCAGTGTACTTGTGCTGTCCAGGAGCGAGACAGCCATGATGGCGTCTTGCTCCGTCACCTGCCAGAGGTCAAGGGCTCTAGCTGCAGGAGAGCAGCAGCACCTCCGTATGCATCATCAGCCGGGCGTGCGCCTGCGCCAGCCTGACGAGACTTTCCAACATTCTGACCTACATGTACGTCTGAGGGAGCGAGGAGGGCGAGGTATATGCGTCACAGTCGTGCGAGCTGCGTTCCTTCCTCCTTCCCCGCGCTGGATCTTGTAGTACTGCACCAGTATCTTCTCGCTCGTTTCCGTCAGGTGAGGTTTGAAACTTCTCTTCACCCAGCATATGTACATCTGACGGTCCTCTTCAGCTGACGAAAACAACTTCCCACCAACCAACCTGAAGTTTCTCAAAGTCCCACAGCCTGCCTAGCGGACTTTCCTCCCCCGGAGTCGACGACTGTCCGTTGAGGATGTGACTCGAGACTTTCCTGTCCCACTCCTCGTTCTGCCATAGCTCAGCCCCAGCAAAACAGTCAGACTTTCTGCACCTGCGAGTCCAGGAGGAGGATGACGAGATCGAAGCGAGACAGGAGGGGGGAGGCCAGCGCACAGTTGACCGTCGCACTCTCGTCGGGATCGAACTTCCCTCGAGGGTTTGTCGCTGCAATGACCTTCACTTCATTGTCAGCTTCATGTTCGTTGCTGCCATCACTGACCGTGCAACGGGTGTTGAGCTTGCAGACCAGCCCAGCTTTCGCCACGCTGATCGTCTGCTGCTCCATGGCCTGCGAAGACGTCAGGGCAGTCCCTTCCTCCTCCCTCCTCACCTCATGGATGGCCGTCCGATCTGACTCTCGGATGCAGTCAAACTCATCAATACAGCAAACTCCTCCGTCGGCAAGCACGAGAGCTCCAGCCTCCAGCACCCACTCCCCTCCGCTGTCCCTCTGTTGCAATGGGCTGGGTGTCACCTGACCCAGCAGCACTTCCACCACCTCCTCACCTGTGCTGTCACTGTCAGACCTGCGCTCGTAGTGCCGATGCCTGTGGTGTGAACTGCTCGAGGGCTCAACTTGGAAGGTGTCAGACCCCTAATGCACGTACCCCCCCTCCTCCCCCCTCCTCCTTACCTTGGCGCAGTACTTGAGCAGCTGGGACTTGCCGAGCCCGGGGTCGCCGATGATGAGGCAGTGAGACTCTCCTCGCGTCCTCGTCCCTGCTGTGTCCGATCTCGGGACCCCCCCGATCAGAGCAAGGAGCAGCGACAACTTCACCTGCCCCAACGCTGGCGGTGAGGAGGAGGAAGTGACCAGGGGATGCACACAGACCTTGTAGAGCCCGCAGATCATGGGGCAGAAGCTCCGGATGATGTGATCGCGCGCAAAGAGAGGACGATTGGATTGAGAGCTCCAGAAGCTTTCGAACTGCTTCGACATCTCTTCTGAAAAGTTCATCCTCGCCTTCTCCTCGTTGCAGACTTTGATGTTGTTGGCCGTCAGGACCATCTCTATGTCTGGCCGCACATCCTTCACTAGCGACTTCCACCTCCTTGTTGGGATGGCAGTGATTACAACATCATCACCCGGCTTGCATCGATCGACCAAGTCATCTTCCAAGACAACCACTATGCTCCTCGGAATGCTCCCGATGCTGAGCTTCTGTACTTCCTCCTGGATCTTGATCTCTTGGTAGTCTCTGCAGACTCGCGACCCTTCCACGATGTTGAAAGTTGTTGACTTACAAGGTTTCGCACCGGCAGAAGGGCAGGCGGTTGGAGGAACCAGGTTCCCATTCTGATGCTCCAAGTTGGCATAAACCTTGAACTTGAACTGACATTTCGCGCACATGTACTCTCTCTCCGATTCAAGCATCTTGATCGTCCCTGCTCGCACGACTGTTCCTCGGATCGACACGACACCTCCAACGTCTGAGCTTCGGATGGACGAGACATTCACCTTGCACACAGACTCACACAAAGGAGGAACCACAAGCCGAGGATGAATGTACTTCTTGATGCACATGCTGTACCTGTCCTCGCTGACCTGAATTCTTCTCTCTGCTACCTGTTGGATTGCTTCGGCAAACAGAGGGAGGATGAGCGTTGGCTTGTGGATGAGCAGAGTACCAAGTTGCTGGTTGAAGTCGAGGAGGTCCAACAAGGCGATATCAAGCGCATAATGCCTCCAATCGTCAAGTTCAATCAAGATTTCATCCAAACGGTCCATGAGTAAATTTGTCTGCTCGATGAACTTGGAGAAAGCTTCGACATACTCGACGGGAAGGATCGCAGTGTGATCGTAAACAACCATCGCTGTTCAGGAAACCCTTCTAAGGCGCATGAACTTCCCTTAAAGGAATCAACTTGGGGTGTAGTATATGCTGTCTTTGATCTGTCAATGTGATGCTGCAAGTTTCAACACAAGACAGCAGAAGGTAACTGCAAGAGCGTAAACAGCACAATGAGAAGAGCGGTAAGCTAGGCCATCGAAGATTTCACTTCGGAACAGGATCCTCTTCTGCTGAGCTGTCAAGCCCGTGTTGAGCTTCCTCTTGCAATCATGTCTACTACATCTGCGATGATGACTTGTGTCCTTCTCATCGCTCCTCCATCCTTCTTTCCCTCCTTCTCGCCTCTTCCCGCCATTCCGTCACGCCATGCCACTAGGGTACGTGTTCCACCACCCCTTCTTTTATCACAATACACCCCCCACCCTTCCTCCATGACTCATACCGCACACCCTCTGTTGTCATGTCCCCTGTCATGTCCCACTGCTCAGGTCACGTCCTGTGCTGCCGAGTCACGTCGCCACAATGACGACATGACTCGTCAACGCACCGACGACTCGACAATCATGTCCAGAGAAGCCCTTCTCCTACTTCAAGTCACCCACTGAGACGAAAGCTCAGAAGTTTTACTAGGCAGTGTCTCTGCTAATCTTCGTTCGTACTTGAGCATCACTTGTTTCAGAGCTTCAATCCTGGAACCGAACATCACTCGGACATCCTTCAGTCGAGAAGTCATCATTGTCGATCATGAACTCAACTGACATTCCGTCCACCCTCATCAACTCCACTACCGTCGTCATCCTCATTACCGTCCATACTTGCGTCTAAAGTAACTTGTCAAGATCTCGGAAATGCGATGGACATTGACTGCAGCGTCGTCGCTGGAGTCCTTGCGGTTGTTTCCGCTGCATTGTTCAACGCCATATTCAGAACCCCCTTGGTTGAATACTTTCTCACTCAGCAGACCGCAACCGTGATAGAGGCTGTCGAAGTATGTGCACTTACACCGATAATTGAAGATCTCGATGACTAAACTGCCAGGCTGCATCACACTCGACAAGGAGACTGCAGCACCATGATGAGCTATCAGGATGTCCGTGTGAGCGAAGTACTCAATCTGCGCCTTAGGAGACCAAGTCTTCCCCTTGGCGAACTCAACGAATCTGACGTCTGCCTTGTATTGGCTGAACAAGGATAACTTGACGACATCCTTGAGATTGGTTATCCTGCGTCCGCCGGAGGTTCTCTGCAAAATCAGAACCTGAGGTGGCCTTCGCGAAGCAAGGTTGGCAGATATTCCAAAGTGATCCGTGATCCTCCTGCGAAACCTAGCACAGATTGACGGTTTGTTGGATGCGTCCCGGTCGAAGAAATGATACTTGTCTGGGTTCAAGGCAGGGTACCGTCTCCAAGGAGCATCGACACACACTGTGCGATGCTCCCGTACCCCCCAAGCGAATACGATGCCCCTCGATATGGTGGATAGCATGGCGAACTGAAGCGAGGAAGAAATTGGGGAGCCTGTCGGAGCCCAGCCTCCACTATGGTAACTCCTGAAGGTGTCACATGTACCTCCCATATGATCGATCAGAACATGAGAAAAGTAAGACATGTTGTGCTTGTGGAGCCAAAGCGCGGCGTCAGCAACCTCCTCAAGAAGGTGCGGAAAGTGAGTAGTGCGAGAAAACAGATACGTGGGACCCTTGAGACGCAAGACTGGTAACCTGCCTTCAAATCGTTTCGTGCACTCCTGTCTATCAGGCGATTCGTAAACGTCATCGCAAGTGTACAACATGCCATCAACTATGCGCGTGAACCGCAGTTTCTTCTGAAAGCGGCAATCCCGATGTCCTGCTGAGCTCTGCAGGTAAAAGCATAGCGAATGCTTGGCAGTATACAGTGATTGATCAACAAAACCCGAGATATTTACCGGCTGGATCCTACCGGGCCCGCGATCTCCTTCGTACATACTCTGAAATTCTCTTGATTCCTCTTCCCAAGTGATGAAGAATTCATTTGTGTTTACAGAGGGTATCGGCTTACTGGTATCTTTCATTTTTTTCTCGCGAGTTGTATTGATCCTACTGGCGGTATGACTTGGCGAGGTTGTATTGATCCTACTGGCGTTATGACTTGGCGAGGTTGTATTGATCCTACTGGCGTTATGACTTGGCGAGGTTGTATTGATCCTACTGGCGTTATGACTTGGCGAGGTTGTATTGATCCTACTGGCGTTATGACTTGGCGAGGTTGTATTGATCCTACTGGCGTTATGACTTGGCGAGGTTGTATTGATCCTACTGGCGTTGTGACTTGGCGAGGTTGTATTGATCCTACTGGCGTTGTGACTTGGCGAGGTTGTATTGATCCTACTGGCGTTGTGACTTGGCGAGGTTCCAGTTCTTATGACATGTGCCACAGTTGTATTGCGAGCAGCTGAGTTTCTTCTCAGAACATTAGTCGCATTATCCTTCTTCAATTCGTGCTCACAAAGCTTTCTTTCGCAAGCATCACATTGTACCATAGGCAAGCGGTCTTGATAGTCATGGTAAATCCAGGAGAGCAGTGAACCAAGCAGAAACCCTACAAGAGCAGCGCGTAGAGCGATGTTGGAAGTATTCATGTAAGGCTGCTTCTCATCAGATGAAAGGCTCACACCAACTCAAGAGGAACTTGTGTGCGCCTCAGCTGGGCACTGTGCCACGGCATTCGGCGTGGGAAAGCGAGAGAGGTTGACAAGAGCCCTTTTTAGGTTCTTTACTCAAAGTTAAGTTAAAAATTAGTACAAGGTCTAGAAGTCTCTTGCGGCAGTCCAATTATGATTACTCCCCTCCTGCCCTTATTCCAGTAGTGGCACGGTACTTGCGCGGGCCCGAAGAGGAAGAAGGAGTGGGGGTGGGGGTACTTGTTGCACCGGTGCATTTGATTGAAATTTGCATAGGTGACAGGAGGTGGTGTACCCTCAAACAAATGTTGTAGGGTACCAAGGAAGGATGTGGGGTAGGGTGCAAATGGGGGTGCTGGTCAAAGTGGGGGTATTCCCCGTTCAATATGGGGTGGGGTGGTATTCAACAACTGTGGCAAGGGGGTAGGGTAGGGAAAGAGGGAAAAGCCTTGAAAAGCCAGGGGGGGCTGCCAAGAGGCACGAGAGGCACGAGCCTGGGGCATCCCACCCCGCCCACCGCATTTCATAGGAGACCGCATAGGAAAAATCCCGCGGGATATCGACCACTTCGACCTTGAAGTCCCGCGCACGTCGAACTTTCTAGCCAGGTAAATACGGCAGTCCGTCACGTATACGGCAGTCCGTACTATCAATATACGGTCCGTCACAGGCTGTACGGCAGTCCGCACCCATTCGGCTGACTTGAGTGTGCCGCAGGCGCGCGAGCACAAGGGAGAGGATGAGCGGCGAGGGCGAGCAGTGGGCGACGTGGGGCGAGGAGGAGGGCAAGGAGAAGGTGAAGGAAATCATGAAGGAGAACAAGGAGGAAACCAAGAAGGAAACCAAGGAGATTGAGGTGAGGGAGGAGGAGGTGAAGACCAGCCCTGACGTAGCAGCGCAGCAGCAGCAGCAGAGGGAGGTGGTGGTGGAGGCTGGGGGGACTGAAGGGGTCGAAGGGAGGGTCAGGCAAACAAGGGTCAGCCTGATCCCATCCCTCAGCAACAAACGGAAGCGAGACAACGAGGATGAGGAGGGGGGTCAGCCTCTCGATTCTTCTATTTCCTCCCCTATCAAAAAATCCACACCCGATCCCCTTGAGGAAATCGAAAGTAACCTCACAGCGGCGCTGCTCACCCACCCTCTATTGGCCTGGGTTGAGCAGGGGTGGTGGGAGATCGAGGGGGTCTGTTCTAGCCCCGTGAACGATGTAACGGGGCGTATTGGCCAATTTTCTTAATTGGAACACTAAGGTAAAAGACCAAAGATCTCTTGTTACCCTTTCTGCTGCTTGGTATTTTAAAAAATAATAAACAGTGTGCTTCAACCTCAGCCTGCTAAACCAGAGTCGCCATCCCGCTCTCCTCTCCCGTCCTCTCCTCTTGTCTCCTCTTGCCTACTCTTGTCTCCACTCTGTTCTTCACTGCTCTTCACTGCTCTTCACTGCTCTTCACTGCTCTTCACTGCTCTTCACTGCTCTTCACTGCTCTTCACTGCTCTTCACTGCTCTTCACTGCTCTTCACTGCTCTGCATCTTGGCTCTGCATCTGCTCTGCATCTGCTCTTCACTGCTCTGCATCTACTGAGCATCTGCTCTGCTGCGCTCCGCTGATCCTCCCTTAACTGCTCTGCTCTGGTCATATGATCTGATCTCTCGTTTGCATCTGCATCTACTGAGCATCTGCTGTGCTGTGCTGCGCTTCCCTTGACTGCTCTGCTCTGCTCTGCTCTGCTCTGCTCTGGTCATATGATCTGATCTCTCGTGTGCCTGCTGCCTTCTTATCTAAACTGCTCTCTCCTCGCCTTTGCTTTGTTGTTCCTCTTGTTCCTCCAAGGTTTGCTACTTTGTTCCTCCTTTTTTTTGTACAATGTTCTGCATCTGAACTGCTCTACTCTGCTGATCCTCCCTTAACTGCTCTGATCTGATCTGATCTGATCTGATCTGATCTGATCTGATCTGATCTGATCTGATCTGATCTGATCTGATCTGATCTGATCTGATCTGATCTGATCTGATCTGATCTGATCTCTCGTGTGCCTGCTGCCTTCTTATCCAAACTGCTCTCTCCTCGCCTTTGCTTTGTTGTTCTCTGCTCTATCATCCTCCCTGCTCTGCTCTGCTCTGCTCTGCTCTGCTCTGCTCTGCTCTGCTCTGCTCTCTCCTCCCCTCCTCCCCCCTGATCTTTTATCCTCTTGCGCGACCTTCAGCTTGACTGTACGAGACCCTTGGGATCCCCAGCCGATGGAACATACGATCTGAGTAAACTACCCCTCGAGCCTGACCCACTGTCCTCCTCGTCGTCGTAATCCAAATCGTTATGGTGCAGCATTCTTTCCCTCCTCATCATCATCATCATGATAATGATCCGTCATAATCGTCACTGGTGGTGAACTCCACTGATATTGTTTGTCGTGATCGTCGATGCTTTCATCGTCCCCTTCAACTCGTCAACTTGTCCTGAGTCGTTCATCATGCGAGCTGACCGTCTCCACACCAAGTTGGTTACTTCTTGCTCAGCCGTCTCGCCGATTGTGAGTCGTCTCAACTCTGAGCTCGACATCGCCATTTGTGAGCATCGAGAAATGATAAGGCCGGGGCACTAGTGTTTCACGTGGAACCTTTTTGGCAGGGGTAGACCTTACCAGGGGTGGTATTCAGTACCACCTAGAGTACAGTAATTTTCGACATGATAGATACGGTAGGGTACAAAAGAAATAGGGAAAGGGGGTGGACCCCCTTTATGTGTGAATCCGCCCAGTCTGTGTAACAACAAGGGGGCAGCGGGGGAGAAGATCATGATGAAGTTCAACAAGGATGCGAAGATGATGATGATGATGATGATGATGATGATGATGATGATCTCATACTCATGTAGTATCGCCTCCTCTTCTTCCATGTCTTGGTCACATTCGGGACCACCTCTCAAACTTCGCGTCGACACCAACCTTCACTCACACCCCAGACTGGGAGGTCGGAATGTGCATGGTAGAACAGCAGAAACTCTGCAGGGAGATCAATGCGCGATTGGGAGACCTTCAGTGTTGAGGATGAGAGGAGGAGAGGGAATTTTCGATGACATAGACAAGATGGGTCAGAGCATCATGGGGAACGGGCTCTGGAAATTCGTCAAGTTGGCCATCGGGTGGCGTGAAAAGGTACAACACACGGTGGAAGAAGATTTAGAGATATGCAGGAAGATCACAAGCAGACATGTCAAGAAATCAAACATGGTGGACAGAAAGCTCCTTTACTTCATCTCCCAGGGCCCAACTTTCTTTGCGAATCCCGTCACATACCTGTTGAGGTACATGAGGGGGACAGAAGTGCAGGTTGCGAAGGCTGTTTCTTTCCTCAACGAGAACAAGGACAAGCTGTCCACAAATGAGATGAAGGAGCACTTGTCCAAGGCAGAGAGCAAGGGAGGTCTGGGCCTGACCCCTGCGCGAGTCAGCGAAGCTCTCTTCAGGGCTTCAATCCAAGTGGAGGAGCAGCAGGAGGAAGAGGACAACAAGAAGCATTTTGTGGAGGAGGAAGACGAAGAGCTCGCAGCGTACCAGAAGAAGTTGGAGAAGAGCCATAAGGGCACTTCCTCTGCCGGGGAGAACAAAAAAATCCACAAGTTGGCAACACAGAAGTGAGTGCTTGTGTGTGTGGAGGGTTGCCGAAAGGATCAGCGGAGAATTCACTATCGTACAGGTGGACTGGCACATCAGGAAACGTTGTGAAAAGATTGCAAAAGGAGCTGATCGCCATCCAGGCAAGCTCTTGTCCTTGCTTCTCACTGGATGAAACTGACGTCGGGGGTGCAGAGCTCTGGAAGTTTCGAAGTTGAGCTGGTAGTTTGGAGTTCCGACTATGTAGCCGATGAGAATGACGCTGTGAGCAGGTCAATGACAACATCTTTGAGTGGTATGTCACAATCGAGGGCGCAAAAGGCTCTTTCTATGAGGTTCCACTTCCTCCTTCACCACTCTCTTTGGATTTCTTGACGAAGTTGTGGCAGGGAGAGAAATTCAAGCTCAGGTCTGAAGTTTTCATAGCAAACCCAAGATTGTTCATATATCGTCTCGTTGACAACTCTGCAACACAATCTGCTTCAATCTCATTTTCACTATCTTGAAGGAAATCAATCTTTCACACCTTGTTTACTTGTTGCATCACGGCAGGTTTGGATTCGACGAGAAATATCCCACCGAACCTCCAGAGGTGACTTGTGCTTGTGAAAGAGACAGAAAGAGTCTTCTTGACATGTTACAAAAGGTCACATTCGTCGTTCAAGTTCCGGGCTGGCCCCTACCTGAAGCTCCCACAACTGTGAGGACCTTAACCAACACTCTTTCTGCTCCTGCTCCTATTGTCTTTTCTTCCAACTACCTCTACCTGCTTCTACTTCTCATCCTCCCATTCCACTGCAGTGCGCGTCCGGCGACTGCCCATCACAGCGTAAGGGAGGTGAATGGCCCGCGCGCTGGGGCACGAGGAAGGTGAAATTCTTGCTGCATCGACCCTGAGCTGACGAGAGGAAAAGCATCACTGTCCCATCCATCCTCACATCTACACCAACGGCCACATCTGCCTCAGCATCATCTATGACGACTGGTCGCCTGCCCTTGGGGTCGAGGCGGTGTGCCACAGGTTCGCTCCTCTTGCCGTCTTCACGCCATGGAAGTGACTGGCGCGCTCTTTCCCTTACTCGGGAGCAGCATGATCAGCATGATGAGCAGCGCCAAGGAGAAGGAGCCTCCAGCAGACAACGAGATGCATCTGGACGCTGGTCAGAGCGGCTCAGCCAAGAAGGTGAACGCATTGCTGGGCTCCTGCTGAGGTCTGACGGATCTTTGCAGCTGAAGGGCTGGGACTTCCACGATCACGAGGCGTGAGTCAGTCTCGATGGCAAGCGCTTATCGCCAAGCGATTGACAACCGCTGAGCCGATGGAACGAGAAGAGGGTCATGTTTCATCGGCTCTTCTCAGCTGGAGTTTTCAAACGTGGCACCTGAGGGGCTCGCAGTAGCATATGTCAAGATGGACGCACGCGCATGTTTGCTGGCGTTTGTATAATACAAGAGGATACATCTTGAAAGAAGCTAGAACTCGTCGTGCCTCGATAATCCCCGGCACATGTCTTTGATCTGCAAACAGGATGAGCTCGAAGGGTCATGACGACGATGCTCATGGTCGTCAACAACTACATCACAGATCATCATGGCAGGCTGCCTTTCCTCAATCCACATTCCTCTCACCTGACTCTTGCAATGTTTCTTGTTCTCTTCATCTGCGTAAGGTCCATACGGAGCGTCACACTCAGGGACGTTTCCTTCGAGCTCGGCATTCCCCGACAGTCTCAGCAGAATGAGATCTCCCAGCTTACAAACGCCAAGAGGGACGAAGCCCTTGAGCTTGTTGTTGCTCAGGTCAACTTTCTTCAGATGCACCATGTGCGGCCCCAGGAGCTCGGCCGGGATATCTCCATGTAGGAGGTTGTCTGCCAGGAACAGCCTGTGAAGCTCCTTCAAGGCCCCCAGCGCGGGTGGGATTTCTCCCTCCAGCTCATTCTCGTTGAGATCCAGCTGGACTAGAGACTTGAGCCTTGTCAAGGACGTCAGGGGGAGCGGTGGAGAGTCCGAGTCTCTTCTACTCACTCGCCGATGGTGTCAGGTATACTTCCAGTCAACTCGTTCTGCTGCCTGCAAGGACTTCAGAAGACAGGACAGGATAGCATGCTCAGTACAGCTCTAGCTGATGAAGGCTCGTCGCTCCTCCTATTTCACGCGGTATGCTCCCGCTCAGCTTGTTGCTGTTGAGGTGCAATTTCTCTAGATTTTTCAGTTTCCCGATAGAGCTTGGAATTGCGCCGACCAAACTAAAAGTGCGTCATCTGAGAACAGCAAGCAAGAACAAGGAGGAAAGGCGAGGAATGGGAGAAAGCGACTAACGAGGGACACAGGATAAGAGATAACGGACAAGCACGAGGAAGAATAGAAGAACACGAACAGACTTGTTTGAGTTGAGGAAGAGTGACTTGAGGCTTGATACACTGCCAATATCGGCAGGGATAGAGCCATAAAATCCGTTCCCCGCCAGGTACAAGTGTTCTACGAGGAAACCCTTGCGTCAATGGAGTACATAGTTCAATCCTCATGGTCACCTATCGCTCGAAACTTGGTGATGTACGAGGGGAGGACACATGTGCTCTCGTCATCAAAGTGCTGGCACACTCCTGACACTCTTATGGATTGTATCGCCTGCTGTTGAGAAGTTCCCGCCAAACCTTGAGCAAAGGGAATCATCTCGATCAGTACATGAATAATGATCAGAGAAAAGGTTGGCAGCATACAAGAACTGAACAAAGTTGATAGCAGACTTACCTTTCACTTCGATCTCTTTACATGTCACTCCACTCCAACTGCAGATGTCCTCTCCCTCCCACTCCTGCAAACCAGGTTTGCAGAACCCGAACAAACTCAGGTCATGCAAGGGAAACGTATCATGTCACCTCAACTCGCCATAGAGCAGCAAGATCTCTCATCAGCTTCTCTTCGGAGCTCATCAGCTTGTGTGAACAAACTTTCACGCTGTGCTGAGCCAGCACCAGCAACAGCGCCACCATCCTACTCTTCCACTGCATCATCCCCCGACAAATTTTCCTGATACCACCCACGATACCACCCCTTCTTACCTAAAAGACCCCTCCCTTGCTCGTCTCCCCCAATCTCTTGGTACAAGGGGGAAGGAGGACAGCGAGTGGGAGAGGAGAGGAGAGGAGAGGAGAGGAGAGGAGAGAGGCAAGGAAGGAGTGAAGGGCTCTCCTCCTAACAACTGTCAGGATGGGTGGAGAGCACACGGAGGGAGTGGCGCTGCATGCAGTGAACGGGGAGCAGGAAGAGCCTCCGCGCAAGCAGGACGAGGATGTAACAGTCGACCGCATTGTCGATCGCATCGGGTTCGGAAGGTATCAGGCTCGTCTCCTCGTGCTATGTGGAGCTGGATGGGCTGCCGACATCATGGACATTCAGGCCTTGTCCTTTCTGATACCGAAGTTGAAGCGCGAGTGGGGGGTGAGCAGCGCTGGCCTTGGACTCGCCGCCTCCTTCACCTTCATCGGCATGCTGCTGGGTTCGCTCGTGTGGGGCGTCATGAGCGATCGGAAGGGAAGGAAAATTTCCTTCACGGTATGAACCTCGGAGAAGACTGAGGGGGACCTGATCGTGCTGGCAGCTGACTAGCCTGTGGGCGGGATTTTTCGGCATGCTGGCAGCGACGGCATCGAACGTGGAGAGCCTGGTGCTGTGGAGGTTCCTCCAGGGATTCGGTCTGGGGGGGAACCTTGCGATCGATTTCAGTCTCTTCATGGAGTTTGTGCCGACATGCTCGAGGGGGAAGGCGACGACTCTCCTGACCATCTTTGCCACTGTTGGCAGTCTCACTGCGTCCGGGCTGGCCTGGGCCCTGCTAGAAACTGCCGGCTGGCAAACATTTTTGATCCTCTGCTCCTGCCCCGGGATCATCATAGCATTCTTCCGCTCCCAGATGTTGGAATCCCCTTACTTCCTCGCAGAGACAGGTCGAGACGAGGAGAGCCTGCGGGTGCTGAAGGAGGTAGCGAGGTTCAACGGGTACAACCAGGAGCTGCTGGGAGAAGGCGGCAGCATCAAGAAGACTGACAAGATTCCTTTACGTGTCGTCATCAAGAGCCTGTCTGCTCCTCATGTCAGGGATCGTCTTGTCGCCACGTCCTGCCTGTGGTTCGCTCTCTCCTACGGCTTTTACGGGTTCAACGTGTGGGGGCCCAGCTATTTCGATGCAAGAGGGTTCAAACCCCAGGTGCTCTCCTCCTCTTCCTCCCTTGGACGCTCATGATAGATGCATGGCAGAACTCTTATCAAGCCCTCTTTACTTCTGTGGCATGCCAGATCCCTGGAACCCTCTCTGCCACCTTTCTCGTCGAGCGCTGGGGCCGCAGAGTCCTCATCATCCTCTTCTCTCTGGGGTAGCAGCCGCTGAGGTATGAAGGATGGCAAGGATTGACTGGATACCTCAGGTGCTTCCTGAGCATCTCAGGCGTCGCGCTGTTTGAGCAGGCGCAAGCTATGGTTCTTTTCACCCTCGTCCTCAATTTCAACACCGCTGCGCTCTGGGCTGTGATCTACGTGAGCGGCAAGCTCATTCCTCCTCTTTCCCTGACATCGTGCCCAGACTTACACTCCGGAGATTTTCCCAACACAGCTCCGCACAAGCGCCATGGGCGTCTGCTCGGCGATCGCCAGGATCTCCGGCATTCTCGTCTCGTACCTTGGGGGAGCTTTCCTGCACTATTCCGTCTCTGCCTCCCTACTCTCCTATGCTCTCTCCTACGCTCTTGTGCTCCTTGTCGCCGCGTTCTTCCTGAGGGTCGACATGACCGGAGTGCCGCTCTCTCACGTCTTCTCCCACGACGAGCCCTCATACTCTGCGAGGACAAAGCTTGCCGAGTCCGATGTGCTCGCGGACCCGCACGAGGTTTGAAAGGCGATCACTGAAGCATTTATTCTTTGTAAATGATTGGCGACGATTGTAACCGTCGCAATGCTGAGCTATCATAGCCGCCGGCTGAAGGTCTGCTCGGGAAGAGCTCGGGGCGGAGACTGTTGAGTCTCTTGCGGGCGTTCAGACATCCCGATGGCTTGTTTCATGCCATCAACAAACTCATTGAAGAAATCCACAACTTGAGAGACAGGCCCGTCAACAGCTTTCAACCAGTCCGAGTCCTCTTTGGTCGTGGACGAGTCTATCTGTTCTTGCTCGATCATCCGTCTTTCGATCTCTCGCTTCCAATCCTTCATTCGCGCCATCGTCTTGGGATGAGCAGGAGGTGCTGCTGCTGCCTTCGACCGCTTGTCCTTCTTCCCTTCCTGACTTTCCTCCACATGCATCGCAACATTCCCCACTTTCCTCCTAACCTGTCCCGACCTCGCTGGCATGTTCGGAGTTTCTCCAGGAGCTGTCCCACGGTTCCTACGGGAAAGAAGTGACTCTTTCTCAGCTTCGAGCTTCTTGCGCTCGTCGTTTGGGATATTCTTCTTCAGCCTTCTCTCTATCTTGGCTATCGCAATTGTTCCTTCGTCCATGTCGGCATTTGTGCTTGAAGGGCTTGAAACTCCAAACTTCTTGATAACCGGAGAAGAAGCCTCTGATGAACCGAGCTCCAACACTTCCTCCGCAATTGTGACCCTCTTGGTTTCATCCCGCGTTTTGATCATATCCATTTCACCTGGAAACTGTGAGCCTCTACAGTCTCGATAAAAAAAACTACTACCTTCTGGTCTGCCGTGCTCATCGGGGAATAGATTCATACGCAGATCCATCGCACTATGAACGAAATCTTGATTCTGGAAAGATCATAAGTTAAAATGTCAATGTCGACACTTGGTTGTTTATCTGACAATCTTCGTCCCCTTGCAATCTGTGTTCTCCCCTTCAATTCCTCCGAGCCCACCTACCCACCTCCCTTTCCTTTCACCTCCCTCCCTCCACCACCTCCTCTAGCTCGCTCGTTCCTTCTCTCCCTCTCTCTCTCTCCCTCTCTGTGAGACTGCGCACTTTCCCTTTTTCCTCCCGCATGTTCCTCCCGCCATGTTCCTCCCGCCATGTTCCTCCCGCCATGATCCTCCCCTTGTTCCTCCCGACATACTTCCAACTATGAGGAAATACCCACTAGTACCCCACCCTCTCTTTACAGTCATTTTCGCTATTCTCCCCCGCCTGTTCCTGCAACTTTCAACTACCCCACCCCCTTATTGAATCCCACAGCAACCCCTCAAAAGGACGAACGATTTGGGGCCCCCACTCTAATATTTTATAACCGCAATCAGGTTCAGAACTAGGCAGAAGGGAGCATTCTTTGCTGTCTTTCATAATTCAGTGTTTATATGCTGAGGCGGACCTGAAATTCAAGTTGATGTTCCTTGACTGGTGACACGGTCGGATTTTGTACGTCAATGCCATGGGCCATGACAGGCTGACAGGGGAGTGATGAGATAGTACCGGGGCTCAAGTACCGGTAGTGAATGTACCCGGCAGGCTCAAGTACCGGTAGTGAGAGTCAATGTACCGGCGCCGCAGGCTCAAGTACCGGTAGTGAATGTACCCGGCAGGCTCAAATGCCGGTACTACCGCGGTAGTGAATGTACCGGCGGCAGGCTCAAGTACCGGTAGTGACTCATGTCAGAGCCCTGCCAACTTCCGAGGCTGTCACGGTGGTAGTGCCGTTCAAGCACTAGGAGTCCGGTCCCGTCCCCCGGAACTTCAATCATTTGTACTGTTACTCGTGACAGTTACTCAATGGTCACTCAGTGATTGCCGGTGCGAGAGGCGGGCCGGTCGGATGATCCGGCGGCCGCCGGGCCCTGTACGGTCCCAGTGTCAGTGTAGTAAAGGTATCCCGGCGACTCGCCGTAGTCAACGGTTTGGGGGACAGCAGTCTCTTCTCGCCGTATACTGATTTTTTACTCGAAGTTAAGTTAAAGATCAGTACGAGGACAAGACTGCTGTCCCCCTAAGTTAACTGATCCGAGGCTGATCGGATAGACAATTCCCCCGCGCCGAACTTCGAACATCATGCCTTTACTCAAAGTTAAGTTCGAACAAGTCACCGTCACTGTCACTCAGGGCAAGAGCGCCGAGACCATCAGGTTAGACCGTCGGACTCCGAGTGATATTGAGAGGCCATTATGAGACGTGCAAACTTCGGATCCGACCGAACGTTTTGCTCTGGCCGCCCGGCTCTCTGCTTCTGTTGACTCTCTGTCTCTCTGTCACTATCTGTCTCTCAGCCCCTTTCTCTGTCCCGTCTCTCTGTCTCTTTCCCTATCTTTTCTCTTTCTCGGTATCTTTCTCTCTTGTCTCTTCTCTTTCCCTTTCTCTATTTCTCTCTGTCTGTCTCTTTCTCTGTCTGTCTCGCTGTCTCTCTTTCTCTCTGTCTTTCTTTCTGTCTCTCTCTTTCTCTTTCTCAGTGTCTCTCTCTCTCTGTCTCTCTGTCTCTTTCTCTGTCTCTATGTCTCTCAGTCTCTATTTCTCTTTCTGTCTGTCTGTCTGTCTGTCTGTCTGTCTGTCTTTCTCTCTTTCTCTTTCTCTCTCTCTCTCTCTCTCTCTCTCTCTCTTTCTCTGTCTCTATGTCTCTCTTTCTCTCTGTCTTTTTGCCTCATTCTCTCTGTCTCTGTCTCTCTTTCTCTGTCTCTGTCTCTCTGTCTCTCTGTTTCGCTTTCTCTGTTTCTCTGTTTCTCTGTCTTTCTTTCTCTTTCTCTGTCTGTCTTTCTGTCTATCTCTCTGTCTCTCTCTCTCTGTCTCTCTGTCTCTCTGTCTCTCTCTCTCTTTCCCTCTGTCTCTCTGTCTCTCTTTCTCTTTCTCTTTCTCACTTTCTCTCTGTCTCTGTCTTTCTTTCTGTCTCTCTGTCTCTCTGTCTCTCTGTCTCTTTCTCACTTTCTCTCTTTCTCTCGTCTCTCTGTCTCTCTTTCTCTCTGTCTCTCTTTCTCGTTCCCTGTCTCTCTTTCTCACTCTCTCTGTCTCTCTGTCTCTCTGTCTCTCTTTCTCTATGTCTCTCTTTCTCTGTCTCTCTGTCTCTCTGTCTCTCTCTCTTTCTCACACATTCTCTCTGTCTCTCTTTCTCTTTCTCTGTCTCACTTTCTCTCTGTCTCTGTCTTTCTTTCTGTCTCTCTGTCTCACTTTCTCACTTTCTCTCTGTCTCACAGTCTCTCTGTCTCTCTTTCTCTCTCACTTTCTCTCTGTCTCTCTTTCTCTTTCTCTGTCTCTCTTTCTGTCTCTCTGTCTCTCTTTCTCACTTTCTCTCTGTCTCTCTGTCTCTCTTTCTGTCTCTCTGTCTCTCTTTCTCACTCTCTCTGTCTCTCTGTCTCTCTGTCTCTCTGTCTCTCTGTCTCTCTTTCTCTGTCTCTGTCTCTCTGTCTCTCTGTTTCGCTTTCTCTGTTTCTCTGTTTCTCTGTCTTTCTTTCTCTTTCTCTGTCTGTCTTTCTGTCTATCTGTCTCTCTGTCTCTTTCTTTCTTTCTCTTTGTATCTCTGTCTCTCTGTCTCTCTTTCTCTTTCCCTATCTCACCGTCTCTCTTTCTCTTTCTCTTTCTCTTTCTCACTTTCTCTCTGTCGCTCTTTCTCTCTCCCTGTTTCTCCGTTTCTCTGTCTCTCTTTCCCTCTGTCTCTCTGTCTCTCTTTCTCTTTCTCTTTCTCACTTTCTCTCTGTCTCTGTCTTTCTTTCTGTCTCTCTGTCTCTCTGTCTCTCTGTCTCTTTCTCACTTTCTCTCTTTCTCTCGTCTCTCTGTCTCTCTTTCTCTCTGTCTCTCTTTCTCGTTCCCTGTCTCTCTTTCTCTGTCTCTCTTTCTCTTTCTCTTTCTCTTTCTCTTTCTCTGTCTCTCTTTCTCTCTCTCTGTATCTCCGATTCTCATTCTCTCTTTCTCACTCTCTCTGTCTCTCTGTCACTCTGTCTCTGTCTCTGTCTCTCTGTCTCTCTGTCTCTCTGTCTCTCTGTCTCTTTCTCACTTTCTCTCTGTCTCTGTCTTTCTCTCTGTCTCTCTGTCTCTCTTTCTCTCTGTCTCTCTTTCTCGTTCCCTGTCTCACCGTCTCTCTGTCTCTCTTTCTCTTTCTCTTTCTCTCACTTTCTCTCTGTCTCTCTTTCTCTTTCTCTGTCTCTCTTTCTGTCTCTCTGTCTCTCTTTCTCACTTTCTCTCTGTCTCTCTGTCTCTCTTTCTGTCTCTCTGTCTCTCTTTCTCACTCTCTCTGTCTCTCTGTCTCTCTGTCTCTCTTTCTCTCTCTCTCTCTCTCTCTGTCTCTCTGTCTCTCTGTCTCTCTCTCTTTCTCTCACTTTCTCTCTGTCTCTCTTTCTCTTTCACTGTCTCACTTTCTCTCTGTCTCTGTCTTTCTTTCTGTCTCTCTGTCTCTCTTTCTCACTTTCTCTCTGTCTCACCGTCTCTCTGTCTCTCTTTCTCTCTCACTTTCTCTCTGTCTCTCTTTCTCTTTCTCTGTGTCTCTTTCTCTTTCTCTCTGTCTCTCTGTCTCTCTTTCTCTCTCTCTTTCTCTGTCTCTCTGTCTCTCTGTCTCTCTTTCTCTTTCTCTCTCTTCCTGTGTCCCCATTTCAGAGATGCTACCAGTCAGGTACTACCCCCTACCCCCCTTTTATACCTTTATCACCCCTGTACCTTAGCATACCCCAAAGGTGAAGGTTCTGCTTTCCCCCAAGTTGCCCGAGCGCCTTCCTCGGTCCCCTCTCATACTCAAGCTACTCGCTCGCTCCCCGGCTGTCCCCTCCCCCCTCCCTTGCCCTTCTCTTCTCCTTCAGCCCTCCCTTGCACTGGAGCACGAGTTTCCTCAACATGAGCCACCCCAGCGCGAGGCTTCTCCTTCTAATCATGCTCATTCACTCTGCTCCGTCCTGCTCCATGTCTCCTGTACAGCCATGCTTTGTGGCCCACTCCTCCCCGTCCCTTGGGCTTCCCTCCAGCTTCTGCCGTCTATCTCGCGCGATGCGCATCAAAGCAGCGGCAGCACGCACTGGCCTTCGGGTCGCTCAGAACAAAGTCAGCGACGACGACGGTTACTCGAGTCGAATAGTGGAGGACGCGGAGGAGCAGCAGATGGTGATGACGAGGGTCTTGCGCAAGATCGACGGCTCTCGAGACGTCCGCACCTCAAACCTCTACGACCAGCAGCAGCTCCGCCTCAACAACATCAGCATCGCCGACATCATGAATCGCGCGATCAGCAAGGTTGAGACGAGAGAAGGCTTACCACCCAGGTCCTCCCCCTTGCAGCTTGAGAGGTCTCCCGTCCTCTTGTTCTTGTTCTCCTGCCAAGTCTGACGCCTCTTCTCCTAGGCCTCCTGACCTCCAGCAGCAGATCAGCGGCAAGCACATCGATCAGAGCGTCGAAATCTTCTTTTCTGCTTTCTGGGATATTCTCAACCCTCTCTTACCGTCCTTGTCCTCCCTCATTGCTCGGCTCGGTAACAATCTCCCATACCGATGCAACTGCTGACTGTCACAGTCTATGAGATCGCGTACGTCTGGAACCGTGTGGACCTGAACGTGAAGGCGGTGTCAGTCTCGGTCCTAGACTCCGGGCTAGTGGATGGTCAGGTCAAGGTCGAGCTTATGAAGCATTTCCCCTTCGAGTCCAATCAGGTAAGCTGCTTGAGATGCGCCTCCAACACCTCATTCTTCTCCGCCTCCAACACCTCATTCTTCTCAATCTTCTCATCCTACTCATTCTTCTCAATCTTCTCATCCTACTCCTACTCATTCTTCTCAATCTTCTCATCCACCTACTCATTCTTCTCAATCTTCTCATCCAACTCATTCTTCTCATTCATATCATCCTACTCATCCTATTCATTCTTCTCATTCATATCATCCTACTCATTCTTCTCATTCTTCTCATTCTTCTCATCCTACTCATTCTTCTCAATCTTCTCATCCTACTCATTCATATCATCCTACTCATCTTACTCCCTGAAACCCTCTGCAGCTCTTGGAAGGCAAGTTTGTCGCCGGACCCAACAAGGGCATGGATCTTTTCATCTCAGTTTCGACCACCGACCAACTTAGAACCAACAACGCAACTGTCTCGAAGCATCAAGTGTTCAGCGTCCTATCAGCACAACAACCTTCAAACCTCTCCATCCCGTACGTGGATCATGTGCAGTATGGCGGACTTCATTGGTACCTGTTTCGATATGCTAGCTCTCTACGACGGTACAAGAGCCTTACTGAGCTCATTCAAGAATGTTATGCAGGGAATATGTTGAACTAGAGTTAAGACTGAGACGGTTAAAAGCTATCGGATCAGCTATTTAAAGTTGTTTTTTTTTGGTCAAGAAGAGAATTCTATCTGACCTACTCGATTACCCAGAAAGAGTTCTCAACCTCGTTGAAGCTCCTTCCTCCGAACATGAGCAACTGAGTCCCGTTGTTTACAGCGGCCCCGAACTGAGTGATCTTGACGAAGCCTGCTGGAGGTGACCACTGGCTCCAGCTTGACCCGTCGGCTGACACCCAGACCTCTCTAGAGATCATCGCGTCCTCCAGGCGCCCTCCGATGACGAGCAGGTGGTCCTTGAAGGCGACTAGAGCGTGTCCTGATCGCCTGCTCCATGCGGCGGACGAGGTGACTTGCGTCCACGTCATCTCACCCAAGGAGTTGAGGGCAGCCATCCACACGTCGTTTAGACTTCCCGACGAGCCCTCGCCTCCTGCAAGCCAGATCCTCTGACTGCAGTTCACGTTGGTGACAGCGACACTGTGAAGAGCGCGAGCCTGCCAAGGCGCCTGCAGCTCCTTCCAGCTCGAGCCATCCTCACTGATCCATACGTCCGAGTGATACTGCACTCCTCCTCCCACAAAGTTCGCTCCGCCCATGACCAGGAGGTATTCCTTCTTCCCCTCAGTGTCGTATGCTAGCACGGATGCTGCTCCCAGGCCGTACCTCCTCGACCAGGCAGCGCTGGCAGTCACTTGTGTCCACAAGTCTCCATCGGAACTTTGCCACACGTCGTTGAAGCTTCTTCCTCCCTCTGCTTGACCTCCGAGCACCATGAGCGCGGCACGATGACTGACGGCTGCATGGTTGTACCTGCTGCTCCATGATGCTTTCACAGTGACTTGCTCAGGCAGCAGGCACAGAGCGTTGGGGCTGCTGCAAGACTGCAGGTTGACCCTCCAGACGTCGGATGAGAAGGAGGAATCTGTGCTGGTAGGCGAAGTCTGTGCCAGGAATCCTCCCAGGATCCAGACGCTGTGCGAGTGGAAAGCAGCTGCATGCCCATATCGAGCACGCAGAGGCGGAGAAGCGTCGAGGCGTTTCATAGTCAAGCTGTCAAACACGAATGGTGATGTAGACAGAAACTTGAACGTCATCAGCTGTTGGGAGAAGTTGGAGGAAGGGCTCAAAACGCCTCCCGCAAACGGATGAGTGAAGTCCCCGCCGTCATCGACCATGGTGACTTGCAGCCTTGCCTCCTGCGCCTCAAGAGAATGAAAAGTGCAGAAGGCAAGGGACTGGTCGGAGCTGTTGTAGCTGGGATATCCGAAGAGCGCAAACGGAGCACCAGGATCGAGCAAAGTCAGGACAAAGGAAACCTTCTGAAATCCCTCGTTAGGTCCTGCCGAGAGCCCCTGCATGAATCCCGACAAGTACTGAGGGTACGCGAAGGGTTGCACTACAATTTCTGTTGCCTGCAGGTGGAAGGTGGGTTTCTGGTTGACGTTCATCACCTCCACTGTAAAGGCTCTTGAAGATGACTTGTTGCCGTCATCTTTCAGAGTAATGTTGAAGCTGGTGGAGCCAAACACGTTCTGGTTCAGCACGAAGACGAGGGAGCCATCCGGGTAGATCTGAGGGCCCTGAGCAAACAGAAACGCGCTTTCGTTTCTATCCACGTGCTCAACAACAAAACTATATCTCTGATATGAGCACGTATACATACCGCACAGAGCGTTCGCGGAAGTCTGAAATGAAACGCCCATGTCCGTGAATGTCAAGTCCATTGCAGATTCGTACGGGTCCCCTGCAGAGATATCATATGCAAAATTCCTGTGAACGTGCAAGAACGAATTCTTGCGATAGTCGGGGGAACAATCTTGATTGCTGACCACCTGTACGCACCATGAATTTTCATTGACTTGAATCTGCGAGGTGAGATTGAAGTACGGCGGATTGTTGTAGGGAGTGACCTGAATTGTGACATTCTCGTCCTGACCCGACACTCGCATCCCCTGTACAAGGAACAAGAGCCGGCAAGTCACCCTTCCAAAGGCGTACTCCTGGACCTCGAAAGTGATGTATCCTAGGGACGAGCTCAATGTGACCTGAGGGTGCCGTACAAAGATGTTGACGTCACCGGTACAATTCCTGAGTGCGAACGAAACATCGTTCTTCGACCCGCTGTATGTGATGTTGGAGATGAAAAGCGTCGGGCTGTACACGCCAGAGCTCTCCATGACGACGATGTCCGGGAGGAGCAGGTGGTAGGAGGGCTCGGGCTGCGGCTCAGAGCAGTTCAAGAGGAGAGTGAAGTTGAAAGATTGCAGCATCCAGTCTCTGAACGAAACAAGAATGCTCTCCTGCGATGCGAAGTACTGTGTCACTGAGTACCGAACTTTCCCGTTGGTGTCACTGATGTTGCTGATGCTGGAGATGGAGGGATGCACCTGAGAGATCTGCATGCAGTGATCAAAGTAGTTGGTGAAATCGGCTGTTTCCACTCCAACGGAAGGACACTGCAACTGAACGTCGCCGCTAGAGTGCAGGTCATACTTGTTCACCGTGATATTGAAATAATGATTGGCAGACCTGTTCGTGCCCCCATAGAGCGTTCCGCCAGAATCCTCTGCCCAGATCAGGACACTGATCTCGCCGTAGAAGCAAGGATTGATCGAGAGTTGGAGGGTTTCTTCCTGTACGATGCTGGCATTCACAATCGATGACGGCTCTGAGGTCAGGATGAAGAAGGAGAGTTGCTGCCATTGTTCCTGGTCCCCAGCGCTAGCATTCTTGATGAATTGAGTTCTGCTGCAGGCATTGCACTGCTGCATGTCGAAGATAAGATTCAGCATCAGACTGTTGAGAGTGAAGGAAGGAGCCTGATTCACTGAATACACGAGCACGTCGACTTCCTGCGAGGAGGTAGACAACCCGCAAGACTGGCTCTCTTGGAGCATTTGCAGCAGAAACCTTGAGGTGATGGTGCTTTGTTGAAGCAAGAGCTGTGGATAAAGGAGCAGGGATCCATTAGGGTAGACGGTGGGGAGAGTTTGGAGTCCCTGCAGCGAGTTTGAAGTGATCTCGGTCATGTTGAAGTACTGCCTTAAGTCCCTCACGCTGGGGCTGCTGGAGAAGTTGGTGACAAAACCGTCGACCATGATGGCCCCGGCCCCTCGCGAGAGCTCCACTCTTGTCCTGCCGTCCGCCCTCAGCAGCGCAACTTCTCCTGACTGACGGCTGAGATCGATGACGAACTGAGGAGATTTGGTGAACTGCACAGAGAGGAGAGGGATCTTCTGGTTGGTCGGAACGTTAGTGCACTGGCTGCTTGAATTCGACAGGCTGAAGTTACTTGAGACCCGAACCTCGAGGTCGAAGAGTCCGTCTACTAGGAACTGCCCCGCGACCAGCCCAATGCATCGGTCGCCTTGGAGGGAAAAGGAGAAGGTCAGATCACTGATGGGACCCATCGGCATGATGATGTCAAGAAAGCTGCAGAAATGGTTGGAGATCTCAGGAAGGTTCGATACAAAGATCGTCAGGTTGAAGTTCGGTTCGTAGCAACGAGTGAGATTCTTGGTCCCGTCCTCAAACACCGCGTCCATTAGCGCGGGCTTGTCGATTTGAATGATGAAAGGAATGGGTTCAAAGAAGAAATCGTTTTCTATCCTCATAGTGAACTCAGCCTCTCCCCAGTTAGAACTGCCTATCTTGAACTCCAGGTAGAGTTCAGGGGTTATCCGCATCGAACCTTGCTCGACCAAGTTTGGCTCTCCCTGCTTCAAGTCAAACTTGAACTTCTCCGACGGAACGCTGAATAAATCCAGCGGTTCCTCCCTGTATGTTTGCTGCCACCTCTGCATCTGTTCAAGGAACTGGCTGATCAGCTTCGGGTTGTTGCTGTAACAGGCGACGACCGTCACTTGGATGTCGCACTTGGGGCAGCACAGGAGCTCCTGCTTCCCTCGAGGAGGAACATAGCGAAGGATGTTGGAGAAGTGCGCTACGTGGTTCAGCGCCTCGAAGGTCACGTGACCGTCGGTGATGCCGATGGCAGCGTCGGTCATCTTGGGGGGTATGCCCTTGCAGACGAGCTCGCTTTCAGATACCCAGGCTGAGTCCGCGCAAGGGAGGCCGTCGATGTAGATGGTAGGCCTGCTGTCCTCAACGCCGAAGTTTCTCCCGTAGAGGGTCAAGTTGCCGTTCCCTGCCGTGGAGATGCACGTCGGAGCGACGTCTGAGACCTGTGGAGTGACCATCATCTGCAGGTCATCGATGGGAAGCAAGCTCCGAAGCTGCGAAACGGGCATGCTAGTGACGCCTTTTCTCAGAGTTCCATCAATCTGGCTCCACGTGTAAGTGTGCAGGAGTTGATCGTCATCCTTGAAGATGATGGTATTTGCCGACTCTAGAGCTGCAAAGTACTCCGGAATTATGTTCTCCGAGGGGAAGGAAGCCAGCGGTGTCTTAGAAGCGTTGATTGCCTGTATCGATGCTGAAGATTGTACGTCGATTGCAAATTCATGGCATGAATCTGCACTGAGATCAAAGAACTTGGTCCATGAAACTCTGTCGAGGTCGAAGAGTGTCATTCCGTTTGCCTTGTTGCCATATGAGTTGCTCCACATGTCCTCCTGCACGACAACAACAGAGTCCATCTCCCTGAAGTATGACATCACCCGTACGTTGTCTAGGACAGGACCATGAAGCACTTTAGCGTGCAAGCACAGCTCCTCTCCCTTGCTTCCATGCAACAAGTACAGTTGGCTGCTCATCCTCTTCATCTGCAGGTCTGCCGCAAAGCAAGTGTTGTTAGGCAGCGGCTGCCCCACCCCAAGCTCATAGTAGCACAAGACCTGCTGGTGTGACGTGACCTGACAGAACCCGCCCACCTCCTCACATGTCGATCGAGTCGAGGAGTCAATCTTGACTGCTATCACCTGCTCCTCCTCCCTCACCACCATCGCGTAAAACAGTCTGTTCATCGCATCCCAAGCTCTCACGTTGGACGCGAGCTGAAAGTTTCCGATCTTCTGCGTTTGGATCTGCAAAGCTGAAGGGTCGATGATGATCACGCGAGCATCTGAGCAGTTGATACCCGCAAGCATGCCCATGATAGTTCCTGTTGTCTTGTCAAATTCCAAGTTTGTGACCTTGAACGCGTTTGAGCCAAGACCAGTCTCCAAAGACACCTCCTTTGACCTTGCAAACATTGTTGTCTCATCCAGCAATGTGCTCAAATTGAACTCTGTGTATGAAATTTGCGCGTTCACCACGTCCGGATGAAACACGTACACTACTTCATGGATGGGGGAGAAGACGGCCATACCGAGCTCAAAGGAATCAGTGAGGTTTGCCTTGAGAAGGCTCAGCCTGTCATTCGCTGGGTTGAACATCCAGATCTCAGACGAGGAGTCTTTGCTGGTGAACAACAAGACTCTTTGCCCGATGCGGAATAGATACGGGTCATTGAAGCCGTACGGCGATCTCAAGGCTACCGCATAGACTGCGTCCGCCATCGGCTTGTTCAGACTGAGAATGCATGAGATCTCGTTGTTAGAGAAGTAAACGAGGTTCGTGCATCGACTGGAGTTGACTTTGACTTCTTGTATCAAAGAGGTTGAATTCCCAAAGTTGTAACCGTAGATAGAGAGATGGACAAATTTACCTCCCGCTTGGTATTCAGCCATGACGTTAGTCACCACCGGCTGAGCTGATTCCAGCATACCCAAGAAGATTGCTCCTCGCACATTCAGTTCAACCTGCCAGGGCCCATTGACGTTGCTGGGGATGCGACAAACAAGCTCGCGAGGAGTCCTCGAGAGGATCTCGCAATTCTGTTCACCAACCCGAAGTTCGACTGGGTTTTCAGCAGATCCGAAGTTCTTCCCGATCACTGTCAAGATCTCACCGTCCAGGTTGACTCTAGGAGGCTCGTAGGCCTGGATGACAGGAGGGCTGAAGTATGAGAAGACACCCACGAACGTGTTATCGCTGTTGTTGACAACCACTGTCATGTTCAAGTCTGTGCCGGTTCCCGCGCTAGTCGTGCACTCGATGTGGGTATCAGCAGTCCAGAAGAGCGGGGAGCATTTTGACGCCC